ACGATAAAACAACATTTTTTCAACTATCTGGGGAGCATTATTTTTCTTGAATTTTGCGAAAATTATATGTACTGGTATTCGATTGTGTATTTACTGCTTGTGCAGAACTCATCGACATGAATGTAGCTGTTGCACGTGGTGCTCCTAAAATACGAGTTAGACAGTTCGTAGGCCGTTGCTGCATATTGTAAGAAAGGCGTATTGCCAGAGAAAAAGCAGATTGTCTTTATCAATACCACAATATATAACAAAGAAACTTAAATCCATTCATCTGTTTTACCCATGCTGAGAAACAGTGTAAAACCCCATTGAAATATCTCAGGTTTCCTCTCTTGGTCAACGGAGTAAAAAAAAGGTCATATTTCAAACCAACAGCCACTAACGCTCACACCTCATCTAGCCACTAAAAAGGAAAAGGAAAAGAAAAATAAATGTCATGGGCAGTTCGTATTTAAAATTTATTAGTGTAACATTGAGAGATTCAATTGGATCTGAATATGTCTATAGTTCTTTACTAATATTACAAAATCTTCAATTGCGAGAGAAAATTTAATCTTTTCAAAACAATTGAAAGACGCATTACTGAACTATGTCATATTTGGTCGAATCTTGGAAACATCATCGTCTTTTATTATGTTAATTGAATGCAATTCGCGAGTAGTGAGCTTTAAGAAGAATGTGTTACGCGTGAATATGAATGAAAAATATAGTAATTACAAATTTTCGCTCTGTTTTACACTGCAAGTGGAAGTTTTCATGCATATGACAAAACTTATCTAATATCTGGCTACACAATGATAGGAAAGGACAATTAAGAAGTTTCCATTTCATGAGAGTTTACAGAATGAGTGTGGTGCAAAATTTGTTTTTGAAATACAGGCAAACTCACCAGTGACAACATTGAGGGTAACAGCCGTCTCTTCAGTTGAAGTCCTATTCCTTGCTGTCACCTTGTATACACCTTGATGTTCTCGCTTTACATTAGTCACTGAAAATGTATATCGTGTTGTCCCCTCGCTTGTGAACTGCACTGCTGTTCCATCTTTTGTCAGCTGAACTTTCGGTGTTTCCTTGCCACTCACATCTACGGTAATATCGAATGGTTTGCCTTCTTGTAAGTCAATTGTATTCGATGCTGGTTTCATTCTTGCTAACTTTACTGGCTCCAGCACTGTAAGTCTGCATGGAGTCGACTGTATTTCACCAACTTCGTTCTTCAACACAACTCGATAGGTGCCTTCACTTTGCGCCAGCGTTGCTTTTTTGATTAACAGTTGATATTCGCCCTTGGCCTCGTCTATCAACGTATTTTCAGATTTGATGACCTCATCTTTGAAGAACCATTGTGCAGAAGGTCGTGGTGATCCTTTTGCAACCACTTTCAGTGTGATGTCTTGTCCACTCACAATTTCTTGTTGTTTGGGCAACTGTGTGATGATTATTGGTGTAGTAAGAACAGTGAGTTGAACAGTTTCTTCTTTATTACCATAAGGATTCTGAAGCCGACAAGTAATCGAACCTGCATGTTGTTCTCGATCGACGTTCCGAATGGACAACGTCGCTTCGCCAGTCATATCATAATATTGCACTTGAACGCCTTCTTTCGCTGTCAGCTGTTTGCCATTGAGAAGCCATGTGATAGTAGGTGTGGGATATCCATCGATTTGTGTCTTGAACAAAGCTATCTCACCTTGTTTTACTTTTTGTGTCGTCGGCTTGACAATATACACTGGCGATTCTACAAAGGCAATTTTAAGTCGGTTTCAATGAATGCAAGTCCATATAACTTTTAGCGCATATGAATCGAAGTACTTCTATTTTGAGTTGTATAACTCATTGGAAATTCCAGAAATAGAATTCTTCTATTGATAACATTGAAGAGTTCGAAATGGTTTTTGAAAAGAAAAAGTTGATAGACATTGTCAAAGAGTTACAATAAATGAAAATCGTGTAAGATTTATAAACCAATACGAGACCTATAAATAGGTGTGGAACTCACAAATCGGTTACGAGCTTATATGTTATCGCTCTTACTGCATGTTTAGATATTGAAGAGTGTGAAAGGGAATGTATTTGATCCTCTCTTTACTCGAACACACCAAGCAACTACACTTAGAAATAGACTCGTGCACGAACAAATAGTGCCTTTCCTACTAATTAATTCTTTCTTACTTCTACCATCTCATCAGTCGAAAGAGAAATAGACAGAGAAAGAGAAGAAATGAAAGATAATATGAGATACATAAGAGTAGTGCAAATGGTTTGATCCATCACAGAATGATAGCAGTTGACTTCGTACAATTCGCTTCTTAGGTTCGTCTTGATACAGACTTGTGAGTGACTATTGGAAGTTTGATACTGCATATGAACTGTCTTCCGATCTTACTTCGCTCATTATCAACGACATTAGATTTGATTTTCTTTCGCGTTAGTCAACTAAATAGCTCTCCGTTCGAAAAATGAATTTAGAAGTTTAGATGACTGCCTGATTAATAAATCAGATGTACATTTATCAGAAATCGTTGGGAGATTCTATCATCACTTTTTGACTCATCTTGTCCTCCCTTTCTTCTTACAATGAAACATAGCGTCCAAGTTTTTTTCAAAACAAATATTAGTTTCATTCATATCACTAAAACTTTTAGTACGGTCCCTGCAAGATAAACATGTGAAGCACGACGAACCCACTGTAATTGTGAACGACAGTCGTGGCCATTTCTGTTGCAGCCCGCGGTTAGAGCAAAAGGAGCACTAGATTGCAATGTCTGTCACTTTTCGCTATGATATATGGGCCTTTTTGACACGCTTGTCACATACTACTGGATAGCGGAACGCCAAGGAATAGGGTCTAACATTCTCATTACATAGTTCAACACTCATTAACAATCGTGTTTCACAAAAACGACGCACTACGCATTACACTACATGCATGCTCGCATGGAAAAAAGATGTCTGTTGTTCTAAACAATAACATGATAGAAAAAACATCGGGCTAGCACTAAGCCAATCATGCAGGATGTTGAAGGAGGTCTTGAACTTAAAGAAGACTTTCCAGTATGAAAGAGTATCGATTAGAATCAGATATAGTGGAAGACACCACAAGACAGGCAATAATTTACATGATATTAAATATAGTATCTATGTCATGAAATTGCAAAGAGTCTAATAAGAATGGACTAGTAATGTCACACATTTAGTATAGATGTGCCTTTGACTATCAACATACTCATGTTATGTCTCTCTCGCAAGATCGTTTTAGGTGCGCATTATTAATGAAGTGAGTTCATATGCTCCAGAATAGTTCGATAGAACTTGGTAAGAAAACAGAAAGCAAGAGCTCTACAATAACAAACATCTATGCGGTAGAGAATGTTGCCATTAGTCTTTTGTTCATATTATATGAGTGTGACCATAGATCCGGATGAACAGAAGACTAACGCTCAGTGCGAAGCAGCACTAAATCTATCTATCAACAATAAAAAAAATGAAAAACGGAAAATCTGAAAATTTTAGGATATGAAAGGGAAGCATCTTTTAAAGAAAATACTTCAAGCGATTGTCATATTCTTTCAATCAAGTTTAAGAGATGAAGATAACTTTAAGAGATTTTCATCGTTCTAGAAAAAAATTAGCTTAAATCGATTATATTGGTTTTACAACAGAAAACAGAGTTCAGTAAATACATCAGAAAAATGCTTGAGGTTAATGAGATATTTAATCGATGACTTGGACAACATCGACTTTTCGTGAAAGTTGGTATTTGAAACTCAAGATTCCATTGAATTTAAAGGAAAATTGTCATGAAGAATCTTTTTTTCTGTTCTTTTAAACTAAATCGATTTTAATTCGCTTCTTAACCGTTTTTTTTTAAATGGGTAGCAAATTGATTCTTTATGTGCATGTTTTGTGATGCGAACATTGATTGAAGAATATAATCGTTGATATTTTTCGCAGTATCGAAAATTGAAGCTTTACTTAAGAAGTAAAATATTCTATTGTTTTGGTTTTTACTTACTGGGGAGAGTTGGATTGATTGGTGGTGGAACAACAACTGGTACTGGTTGTAAGAGTGGAAATGGCGGGCTGGTTTCTTCTAGTTGGATAATATGGAGATTATCTTGATTGAGACAACCAATTACTTTGAATTGAGTAGCAGCCATTAGAAGTACTTCATCTTCAGTTGGATAATACGAATGTCTACGTATGTCTTTAGCCGATAGACACTGTAAAGTAAACATTGTGCGATCACCTTTTGCTCCCAAAAATTGATTCGAATTCAAAACATTAACAGCCGTTGTACAAGACGAGAAACCCCACCAGACGATTGTTTGTCCTCTGATGTAGCGCTTGCTAAGATCTAGTTTAACACCTCTGTACGCAGTTTTAGCTAGCGACGGAAGACGAAAGAGTGCATTAAGGAAGAGTCTTAGAAACAAATACCATGATTCAAGCTTTTGTTGCCTATCTGATGAGCGTAGTGTATCATTCAAAACGAAATATAAGCATTTATCTAGTGGCTTCCATCCCATTGTGTACAACATAATTGACGCGGATTCATCTTGTGTCAATCCATCAGCAGGATTCTTACATCGCTGTTTGGCAACATATGCATGACTTTGAACAGCTGGTAGAATACAGACAAGCGGTTCAACAGCTTCTTCAAGTGGAACAAGTGGCATTTCTTCATAGCCACCAATGGGTGCGATATACTCAAGCGGTTCCTGGACAATATCTGTAATTCGTGATATACGCTGTGCTATCGCTTCTTCTTCACCTTCTGTGGCCATGTTCAGTAGGAAGTAAGTTCTTCACGAAATATTAAAATGATGTATATCTAAAAAGCAATAAACGACAACTTTTATAGAATTATTTTTACCACCATTGATCTTTTTGTCTCCTGGTAATAATCAAATTTTAAGAACATTGGACTTTTCTTACACTGCTGTATTTGATCTTATATAACCTTCAAAATTTACAGAATGCCTAAAATTAGTTCCAATACTTATGTGAAGATATTCTCTGATGACACAATCAAAGTAATTTTAAATTTTTATATTGAATTGTTAATATCATAGAGATTTATTCAATACTGAATGCACATTATTTCCTTAACTATCAATTTCTCGTTGTCTAATTTTTTACTAGTTTTCTCAAAATGAGTTTCATTAAAATATAACTGTTTCTTCCAAAACTTTTTTCGAACTATTATGTTCTTGATATTTCAATAAATGAACAGTGAGATTCGCTGAAAACTTCTGAAGATGAAATTTTTTATTTGTTACAATTTTTTTAGCAAAACCTATTGAAGAGTGATGGTACCAGCAGTGCAGATATTAAACAGTTGTGCTCTCAAATAAATATAGAAAACAATAGATAGAAATAAACCTATAGACTTACCGTAAAATAGTGCTTATTCAAGCGTTAGTTTTATGACGAATGACTTACTCAGAGCTCTTTTTCTCTAAAAAAAATGTTTGCAAGCATGTTGTACGAGCTCGTCATTATGATTAATGATGGTAGTAGCTTACTGTTCCAGAAGAAAACTGCTATTATTACGATTGATGATAAGAACATGAAATTTCTCTTAATTCCAGTCAAATGAATATTGATATCAAGTTATCGTACATAAAAAATCATGTTGTCTTTTTCAGAAAATGCCAGTATTGAAGGTTGCCTACGATGTTGTATAACTGTCGATTTTTTTTAAATGAAGGTAGAGTAAACCGACGAAGTATTGCATGTTTCTTACTCGGAATGTTTTTGTCATTGTTAAAAAGCTATCATTATTTTTCTATATTCCATTGAACGAAATACAATTAAGAAAGAAGTCTTCGTGCCCCATTCATTTCAATAAAATATCTGAAGATCTCTTCAAGTGATCGGTAACAATGATTGACGAAGATGATATACACAACAATGTTCATCTTCTGTTCCTCCTAGCGTTTTCTAGCCAATATACGAATAATAATAATAATAATAGAATAAATTACAGTCTATTACGAATCCGCGAAAAATGTCGCTTTGTGAAGAATGCAACGTTTCTTTGTCCTTCTCAATAGAAACTTCTATCCATTAGATTTGAATAAAATTACCTAATAATATGACCATACTTAAACTCATACAGCCGATTACAGTGATGGGATCGGTTCGGTTTCGAACCGAACCGAACCGAACCGAACCGAACCGAACCGAAGTCGGTTCGGTTCGAAATTTTCGAAAAATCGGTCGGTTCTGTTCGGTTCGGTTAAAAGAATTTTCGGTTCGGTTCGGTTCGGTTTGAAGTCGTTTAAAACCGATTTATTTATTTTCACTCAATAGATTTTTTTCTCCTTATAAGAAAAGCAAAACAAAGAAAACATACACTCATGTTAAAAACAGACGTCGCTAAAAACAATAACATATATATATATGTGTATATATATACTTTTAGTGCGTTTCTGATTGGCTACTCGTATGAACGAATAACGAACCCCATAGACAAAAACAAAGCAAAGTATTTGTTTTCTGTTTTCTTTTTTTCTTCAGGCTATTTGTTGTTTTCTTTTTCTTCAAACATTCTTTATTAGTTCTATACTATAATGGTTTATTTCTTTTTTAGGTGATCCTATGTTTAGAGAATATCGAATCTTTCAAAAATTTCAATGATTTAACAATAATGGAACATTCTACATCTTCATCAATCATTGACGTGCTATCACCTTCTTCATCGACTTCATTAGACTGTTCATCATCTTCATCTTCATCAAATCAAGCAATAAATACTGACATTTATCTAGTGTCCGATAATATTGTAAATTATACTACCGAAACTGTTACACTTTGTCTTAAATATAAAAAACAACAATATAAAATAACACTAATAGCAAGGAATTCACTTAGTACATAAAACATAATTGAAAGATAAAGAGGTCTTTTAATAAAATTGACATAGTTTTAAAACAGTTTCTATTATTGAAAAAAAATCAACTGCACCATGCTGGTCTGTTTTTGGATTGCCTGCTAAAATAGTAGGCAAGAACAAATACGAAATAATAAAAAAATTTGCTTCTTGTAAAAGTTGCTATCAAACCTATTCTTATTCATCATCAACAACAACGTTATCAAATCATAAATGTCCGATGCTGCTGAATAAAAATCAATCCACATTAGAAACTTTACCGGTATCAAGTTCAACATCATGCATATCTCCATTTCTTTCAAATAAAGTAGCTGCAGCTAATGCAAAAGATAATAAAGCTTCTGAAAAACAAAAAAGTTTATTTGTCACTTCACTAAGCGATTGGGTATGTTCAAGTATGCGGCCAATCAGTATAGTTGAAGATAGCGGCTTAAAAAATATAATGGATCAATGTATTCAAATAGGTAAAGTTTTTAAAATTTCTAACTATTTTTTTGTCATTTATTTTATAGGTTATACATGTGGACCTATTTCTGCTTCATCTCTTTTACCTTGTCGTAAAACATTAACAAAAGAAATTAAAAAAAATGCAAATATTGGTCGAAATGAAATAAAGACTGTTCTTATAGCAGCAGCACATCAACGACGTTTATCTTTGTCGCCTGATTTATGGTCAGATGGTTATAAGAAGATGTCCTATTTAGGATGTACAGCTCAATGGGTCGATGAAGACTGGAATTTATGTACGTTTGAATTGTTTTGTTTACCATATAGAAAACCTAACAAAAACTCCGCAAATATAATTCAGGTAAATCTTTCATTTTCTCAATACGCACTTTAATTCATTTTTATATAACTGTGTAGGTAATTGAAGAAGGATTAGCACTCTATGATTTACAACATTTTATGTACGATGTTATTTGGGTATGTGACAGAGGAAGTAATTTGAAGAAAGCATTGGAGAAGTTCACTGTTGTGCATTGCGTTGCACACCGGTTAAATAACGTATTGCAACATACATTTTATCAAGCTGAAATTAATAAAGTAAAAAAAGATGTAGCATTTGGTGATTATTATACTAATTCAGTTGAAGATGAAGATGATCAGATTAGTGAAAGTGAAGAAATTGAAGAATCTTGCGACGATGAACAATTGATTGATATACGAACCGAAGTTGTTAGTTATGTATCCAAAGCATCTAGTCGAAATAATCCAAGTACTGTTCTTGCTCAACTAGCAGCTGATGCAAAACGCGTTTTAGTAACTATTATCCAGTGTAAAGAACTTGTTAAATATATTAAGAAGGTAAATTCAATATTAAGACCATTTTATTAGTAGCTTAGGGAACTAAGAAAATCGAAATAATTGAAGAAACAATGTTTTTATTTTTCGCAGGTAAATTTGAATCAAGAACTCGAGAATAGAGATGCTGGTGTCTTAATTCAATGTACAATGGTCAGATGGCTCTCTCTATACTATTGCTTAGAGAGTGTTCGACAATCTTTAAATCCATTAGCCGAAATATTTGATCAAAAAAAATTGGACAAAAAAAGAATCAATGTAATTAATATATCTATTTTGGATAAAATGATAAATTTTTTAAAACCTTGGATGAACGTAATGAAACGTATTCAATCTTCTCTAATTCCATCAATTCATACAGTTACACCAAGTATATATATAATTAATTCCTCATTAGAAATAAAATCAAACGATGCTAAACAAGACAAAGGTTTATCATTTTAAGGTTCACTATTGATTTGAGAAATAATTTTGTGTCTTATTTTTACAGGTATGGTGTTTTTTCGTCAACGAGCGAAACAAGCCATAAAAGAAAAAATTTCTTTTCATCCTATACATCTTATGGGAACTTTCTTTAATCCTAAAACTAGGAAAATGAAGCACTTATCACCAAAACAACAAGAAGAATGCATCGAATACGTTAAGCATGAAATGCTTATGATGGATATTGATCAGCATAGTCAATCACCTCCAAAAAAGAAACAATGTTTGGCAAATACTACATGTACATATATGACAGAATTTTATTTAAATACAGAAAATGATGATGAAGATTATGCTGATCAACATAAACTATCAAAAGCTGCATCACACATGAACGAAATCGATTTATATTTAAAACATGGTTTTGATAAAACGACAATAACAACAGATTTTGCCCAAGAAAACGAAGAATTTAATCCTCTAGCATTTTGGAAGAATAAACATGGTTCGTATCCTATTTTGGCAAAGGTTGCTGCTCGAATTTTAGGTGTACCAGCTACTAGCGCAGCCGTCGAACGTGAATTCAGTTTCGCTGGTAACATTATTACGCAAAAGCGTGCAAGACTATCACCAGATACAGTTAATGACATTGTTTTCAATCATTCACTCAATACGTACAAACAGCGATTTAGTAACACAAATAACAATAAATTTAAAAAAATATAGCGTTGTTGTCACTTTTTTAAATAATTGTAATATTTTTTTTTTACTTAATGTATATAAATAAATATATATATACATGACATGCACATAAAATATCATTTTAAGAGAGAAGCAGATACTCTAATAATATTTTGATCTTTCTAAGATATTTAAGACATTTGAAATTCCTTCGGTTCGGTTCGGTTCGGTTCGGTTTGAAACTTTTTCGGTTCGGTTCGGTTCGGTTTCAAATTTTTAAAAAATCGGTCGGTTCCGTTCGGTTCGGATTAAAACTTTTTATTCGGTTCGGTTCAAAAAAAACAGGAACCGATCCCATCACTGGCCGATTATTCTTCAACAAAATTAAAATTAAAATCGATTGGGAATAGTTTTCTTTTGAGCAAGTTATAGCCAGATACAGATCGATTACCATAGGAAAAAAGTGTAATGTTAATCGATTTTAATTTTGACTTTGCAGTATTATCAGATGGTCGATAGTCTCACTTGTGAAGCGTTTCATGTGATAAGAAACTTTATTTATTAAATAGAACCTATTAAGACCAGACAAAATATAGAATCAATCGTGCTCTTTCAGTCATCCTTCTCTAGTTTTATCCAATTTACCAAGATTTTTATTTTTATTAAGGTAACCAATACCCAACAGAAAATTGCAATATTAACTATACTGAAATGAGAAACGGATGGAACTCAACTGGAAATCTGTTGAATGATAATTTGACCGACTTATTTAGCATCTGCTTTTGATAAACTCTCAGTCGTTATGTATCGTTCACAACTGCTCGCAGATAATGTAATTAAATGCTATCTATTTCTGGTAACGATCAAATCACATTCTGTTACATAGAAACTAAGTACATATAATTAAATGAAAGGTAAAAATAAATTCAATTCGATGGAGTTTAGCAGAAAAAACCTGTATTTTTAATTAAAAGATGTAACCTATACGTGATTCTACTTATTCAATGAACAATCTCAAAATCTAAATTTAATCGTTTTTTTATTACTATTGACACATTTCTTCCATAAAACAAGCTTCTTATTACATTCAAATTTAGTAACACTTTGTACTTGATATTCTCTTACTTTTCATCAACGAAATTATAACAAAGAATACGTTGACTTTTACTCTATGAATATCTGGAAGTACCATGCTATAGTGATAATGAGTGTATTTCGTAAATTCATTTATGTTCTTTTAGTTTCAATGACAAAAGAGAAAAAAATGCTAACAACAGAATTAACATCGAGCTCTTGCTTTGCGATATTTTATTTCATCTACAACTACTTGAACTTTCATCTCTAAAATAATAGATCACAAAGAGTACAATAGTTTCTGGATTTTCTACTTTCAAATTAATGTTTCTCGACTAGTCAAACATTTTCTGTCCGGTTTAGGCACAAACTATTAGCGGATCGCTCCATTATTTGAAGCGATGATCTTGTTTCAAGCACTAGTTGTGGCGAAAGTTCATTGAAAAAGAAATATTGATATTATGAATCGACAGTTCTCATAGAGGTGCTTTTTCACCCTTTATACAACACTAGCTCATCTGATGGCTTTGCTTTAATAATTTAATAGGAATATTAAAAAATTTTTTAATAGAAAACCGAATGATATTTTAAGTTTCCATACACACAAAACAAAAACAATCGTACTTTCATAAAGTCATTGCTTAGCCCAGCTGTCAATGAATTATCACCAAAAAATTAATGTTAACAAGTGTTTCACATAACATAAAAACACTAGAAAAAAGGCCTACTTTGGTGCAACTCTTTTTTGAAAGCAGCTGTCCACATGATAATTTAGGATCTCAATTCAATTCTCTCTTGATGAAATTAAATATAGAGATATTGAAGTAGGATTATAACTGCATGCTTCAAACATATAGAATCTCTAACTTCCACGGTGGATTTTGAAAGAATAAAACATAGACTTGATGGCTAAGTTTTAGAGATGCCCATCAGGACTGAGCATCTGCCATTACCTAGGGCAGAGAGCAGTCTTTTAAGAATAACGATTATTCTACATGCGAGCATTGCAAAGTACTATAACACTCTTGATTTCCTACTTCTGAAGAAAATAGTAGAAGGTTTGATAAAATTCTGTGTATTTGAAAATCTTAAAAGTGATGAAACTCAAACATCTATCAGAAGGCAGACATTTTAATATTGAAAACTATACGGTAGTTTTAGGATTCGAGGAACACTAGTAGATCTATGATCCTGCAAAATCCACAGAACTCAACTAATCGAAGAAATTCACACAACTCTAAGTATTCTAGAAACACGCAAAGTCTATAATTTTCAATGAACTCAAGGTGATAGTTGCTTGGTTTTAAATATAGAGTTAAACTGTAAAAAAGAATTTTCTATTATGAAAACCTTTCAACTTCTCTGGAACAGAAAGTAATCAATCATTGCTCACAGTCGTATCCATATTTACGGTATAATAGTTTTAGTTTTCATTATAAAATCATTGAATCATTCAAATCAAGTTCTTATTATTGAAGAAATGCTTTATCAAGTTGTCATCTAAACGACTACAAGTCGGTCTATCAATATTTCGTTTATTCTCAGCTTTTCAAACGTTCTTTTATGATGTTTAATGACGTATATAAGTATATGATAACACTCTGGAACGTTGTTACTCTATAAAAACATTTTGTAGTATTCTCAGCTTCGGCCGTATTCTCAAGATTTGTTGAGATATGACTATGCTTATTCTGTAACACTCAAAACTTTTGACTTAATCCTTAATTATTCACAAACAGTTGATCACAAGCTGTTTGTAGACAATTTTCATAAGTCTCATCAAAGTAAAATCATTACAATATGGTAATTTATGTAAAATCGAGCGTAGTCTGATGAGATTACATCTCTTAGGTTTATTAATCGTTATTATTTCAAATATCCTCACCCAAAAATCAACATCTTTAGAATAGTTTTTAACTCATTTCATTTTTTATCAAAACAATTATCTATTTTGATATACGAGTTAGGGTTCACTATGAAAAAAAAGTGAGAAGAAAATCTTTATTCTATATTCACTCTTTAGAATAGAATGTTTGCTATCTTGGTTTTTCTGAACGTGGCCAAACAAGATATTACCTTGTCAACTGTTTAACATTGAAAACTATCAACATTTCAATAGTCTACTTCAACACAACCTTCACTTGTATCACTCCTGCTATTATGTCAAGGTGGTTCCAAGAGTTTGTGGTACATATATTTGCGGTACTAAATATACCATGATTTAGAATGAAGTGATGTTTAATCGGCGAATAAAGGGTGTTCATTAATGAAAAAAAGGATATTGACAATATCTATATATAGGCGATATGTCTACACGTAACATTTCATAGATAATTTTTAATTGCAGACATGTGCAAAAATCCCAACGTCTGGAAGCGTTCTATTGAAGTTAAATCTCCTTTTGAAAAATGAGAATTGCAAGCAGCAATTCGAGATAACTCAACTAAATACGAATGAAGATATAAGTTCAGCATTATTCTGAAATCAGTTGATCTCACTTTTAGTCTCCAATGATTTTACACTGAATGCACCCATTACATTCAAATTCTTTGAAAGCTCCTAAATTTCAAGAAGCGCTTGTATTTCCTAAAGTCTTGTTCTAGCTGTCAGAAGTGAGAATCTTGAAAATGGCTAGTGAATTTAGGAATAAAGATCTGTTTGAGACTAAAAGTGAGGCCAACCAATTTCCAAATAGTAGTGAATTTTCAACTCCATTCTTATTTAGTCGAGTGGTCTTGAATAGCTTCTTGCAATCATAGTTTGTCGGAAAGATTTAACTTCCATCGCACTTTAGCAAGTTCTAGTATATAACATGTAAAGATATCGCCCCTATGTCTATATTGTCAATATCAGCCATTTCTATACATGAATCATAAAAAAGTGATACTTTTCACATGTATCAAAACTGAAGGAACACATTTTATGTATTCATGTGACGCATACTATCATATCTCATGTGTATTCATGAAATCCTCGACTAACACAAGAAGTTGCAGGATAGTACAAGGTAAGAATTCTAGTCTCTGCAGGGTAATCCGCATAGTTCTGATAGTTCAAATATGGTTGTGTGAAATGCTAAAACCACAATACTGTACATGACACTGATACATGTCAACAATATCCTTCAGACAATTTTCTATGAACATAGAACGAGCATCTTGCTGGAGAGCATTTCTTGATAAGAATTAGAAAGTTGTTTACAAGTTCCAAACAAAAAATACACAGACATTTTATAGCTCTTGCTAAAACAAGAAACGCAAAACGCCTTAATGTTAATCCTTACAGTCACTAGATCTAATTTTATTTCAAGAACAGAAAAGACTTTATGTGATATATGGACATCTGTTACTGACGAATCCATCTGTTCTGAAGCATATAAACAAATAATTTTTCCTAGAGTAATATACCATGCGTGACTGTTTGTATTGAAAATAGCATACGAAGAACTGAAATAGTTTTGCGGAAGATATGTTCGAAGAAGACTACTTCACTTTTGAAAACGTTCTATGTTCACCAGATGGAAGACTTCGTATATAAAGCTATTCTTTGTAGATTTCGAAAAGAATCATAGAATATGACTATTGTTAAAATACTGATATTCTCGATTTCTCGAGCAGAACTATGCTATATATTTATGAGACTACGAAATTTAGATTGTTTTTCATCTCAGTATTTATTACAATTTTGACTTAGATGTTCATCATCAACTATGATGGCGTAAAAATTCTATAGTGTTATACTATTATCTTCAATTGATCATGTATTAAGCAGATGAAATTGTTAACAAGATGTACCCTATGACAAATGTTTCCTTACAAAATTCTACCGGTTTTTTAAACACTTAGTTTTGCTTAATGGCTACTTCTCCAGCAAGAAAGGATGTCACAAATAACCCTAAAGCTTTTGACTATGTTCACCAGAGTTTTATGCGAGGCATGGCATTTATCCTTCATTCTTATTAATAGTTTTGC